GGCATACCTCTTTAGCCTCCACCTAAGCACATGATCACACTGCCCCACCCCACCTGTGGGGCCAGCGCAGGGGAATATTCTGGGCTTCTTCAGGGCTTCTGGTCGGTAGCTCATTTCACTGTTGTGCCAGTGCACCTTGCAATGAAGTTAGCAGCTCTCATCCCGACGGATCCATAGATGGATAGTTCACGGCTTAGAAAACTTTGAATTGAAAGTCCTGGGGCTGTTGTTGAAATGCAGATTGCACGTGTCTGCGGTGGGATTCTCCCTCAGCAAGCTGGCAGGTGATGACGTCACCAGTCTCCCAAAGCCCTTTGAGAAACAAGGGTCTACACCATGTATTCTGTGTCTTTCCACTTTAACGCATGTTGACTTCCCCCACCGCCACCCCCAGTTATAGGAAAATAGAAACATTTCTAGAAAAGAGTTAGAGGTAATGAATCCTTTTCATTGCTTTCTTCCCTAGCACCTGTTTCGCCTGTCCTAATTCCTAAGGCGTAAGTGTTGGTAGGCAAAGCTTGTTAGCAGTCAGTTCCTTGCCTTGTTCCTGCCAGTTCCTTAGGCAGTTCCTTGCCTCTGTGGTCCAGCCCTCCTGATTATTTTTTCTTTTTTAAACTAGAGCACCGCTTTCCTCTCCCTTCCACAGGATCATGGTCCTGCTTTCCTGTTACTATAGAGACGATTCTGGCTGCTGTCTCCTCCCTTCCCCTCTCCCTTCCCCTTCCTCTCCCACAGTATTTCTTAATTTGCTATAGCATTCCACTGCTGTCATGGGGACACAATGACCGCTTATTTAATTGGCATTTCCTCTCAAATGGCAGCTCAGAAATCCAAGTTAATGGGACCCAACTTGGAGCACTGATGGGGAACGGCGGAGCAGTGGCGTTCTCCGGCTACTCCAAATTGCCGTCTCTTCTCCAAATTGCCTCCTCTTTAAGCCTCATCTGGCAGCACATTTCCTCAGTCTAGAACTTCGTTCACTGAAGGACAAATCAGGCCTCTTCAGTCAATTCACGCACATGAAAAAGGAACCCACCGGAGCGATGTGAGCTTTTTTGGGGTAATTGAGAAAATAGAGTCCTTCTCTGGCTTTTCAGGGTGTGCTCTCTGAGCGTCACATGCACACCTGCGTCACCCCAGAGGTGCACAGGTGTAAGCACTCAAAGCTGGTGGCACTGTCTGAAGCTGGAATTCTGTGTGCTCGTTTTGAGGGCATACTTCCCTCTGGTTCCAACAAATTCCTGGTCTCCTGCTGTGTGATTGTGGAGGGCGGGAAGGGGGGCCAGCCCCTCTGGTTGCCCTGCGTGTGCCTGTAGCCCTTCCCACTGCCTAACACCAGCCTTGGCACTCGGGGAGTGATCAGTAAATATTGACTAGTCAAGTGGATGAGAAAGACGAGGCACCGGAGGGAGAGAGACACGCACTTGAGCAACACGGGCTTGAATTACACGGGCCCATTTATCACAGGTGTTTTTCAATAAATACAGCACAGTCCTGGAAATGTATTTTCTAACTTGTGATTTTCCTAACAACCTTTGCTTTCTCTCTAGCCTACTTTATTATAATAAGTGTATAATCCATCTACAAGATATGTGTTGTTAATGTTATTGGTAAGCCTTCTGGTCACCGTAGGCTGTTAGTAGTTAAGTTTCAGGGGACTCAAAAGTTATATGTGAATTTTCAACCGCACGGTTTGGTTGGGGGCGGGGAGTCAGCGCCTCTGACCCCTGCATTGTTCAAAGGTCAACTGTATGCGCATTAATATCTGAGCACCACCTTCCTGAAAGATGCCCATTTTTAATTTTAGAAATTGGTTTTTTAATATTTTTTAATGTTTATTTATTTTGAGAGAGAAAGAACGTGAGTGGGAGAGGGGTAGAGAGCAGGAGAGAGAGAGAATCCCAACCGGATCCACACTGTCAGCGTAGAGCCCGACGCGGGGCTCGATCTCACCAACTGTGAGATCATGATCTGAGCAGAAACGGGTGTTTTTAAGCATAATGGTCGAGACGTGGTGGTGTTGGCAAATACGCTGAGGGAAGGAATGCGTGGAAAGGGTGAACTCAGAACTAGAGCTGGAGGGGACCTCTGGGTGTCACCCACCACTTATCTGGGTGATGTGGAGACAGAGGTGGAGGAAGGGAGGGGCGGAGTGTCGAGGACGCCCGGCTGCAGAGGCGGAAACACAGCTTGATGCATCGGAACCCTGTGGAGCCCTGTGCCCGTGGACAGCAGGCCTGTGTCGTGCGGAAGGCCAGTCCCTGGCAGACTTTGCCCGGGGAGAACTGCTCTCAGCTCGTCTGCTGCTGCTGCACTTGGACATCATCACTTTGTGAACCAGAGAAGCTTCCCAGAGATCTTCCAGAAACCACAGAGAGTGGCTGGCGAGGGCTGCCTGCGTGTGAGCACCGAGCATTACCCAAATTGCAGCCCCTGGGAGGCTCCGATCCGGCAGAAAACAGAGCGATTCAGAACGCCCAGGAGACGGGCAGAGATGCTGGAGGTGGGAAGTTAAATTGAGCACCGTCAAAACTCACACGTTGAAAGGACCAACTGCAATCCATCAAAGGCAGTGGGGAAGTCAGATGTTAGGAGCCCTGGACTCGAGCTGGGTAGGAAAGTAAGCTGACGACAGGGCCCCGTGCAAGGCCAGAATAGAAGCTTTGGTGGCACGAATTCATTCTTTTATTGCTCTCCCTGGCTGCTTGGTCGAGCAAGCCTTACTCATGAATGATACACGCTGTCCCGTTGTCTTTAGGGGGGATCATGGTGTAGGCGAAATGCTTGGTTTTGAAAACAGAACAGATGTCCGGTTGGATCCCGCTGCGGGTGAAGCGGGGTGAGTTGCTTAGGATCTCTGAGCCTCGGTGTCTTCTGTAGAAGTGGACATAGAGCTGCAGTTTGTCAAGGAGACTGAAGGAGACAGCTCCTGTGGGCAGCAGGAGCCCACGCTCAGTGACGGGCTGGTTTCATCGGCTGCACGGGTTTTGACGGACCGTGAGGGTAGGGTGCCCACACGTGGTGCCAACACAGAGTGGCTGATTCTTTTTTTTTTTTTTTTTAATTTTTTTTTTTCAACGTTTGTTTATTTTTGGGACAGAGAGAGACAGAGCATGAACGGGGGAGGGGCAGAGAGAGAGGGAGACACAGAATCGGAAACAGGCTCCAGGCTCTGAGCCATCAGCCCAGAGCCCGACGCGGGGCTCGAACTCCCGGACCGCAAGATCGTGACCTGGCTGAAGTCGGCCGCTTAACCGACTGCGCCACCCAGGCGCCCCGAGAGTGGCTGATTCTTAAGCAGCCTCCCCAGGTCTCCTACAAGCCCTGTGTGCTCACAGAGCACACTGGCCACAGGTGTGAGGGGTCAATGAGCTCTTTGGGCCCTGAGTTGGTACAGGCTAGCAGTGGATTGTCCCTGCTTGGGCACGGTCGGCCTATATGTGGGTCTGCTTCATGAGTCCCAGAAATAATGGAAGATCCCTTGGGACTCCTTAGGACTCCATTTGCCTTTGGTGCTGTCTGCTTGGATCTCTTCTGCCTGCCTTACCGGTCACCATCTCCACTGTGCTCCATTCACATTTCAGGGTTTGAAGAATCAGCCCCGGGTCAAGCTGAACATCGTGAGGTGTCCTCCAGTGACGACCGTGTTGATCAGGAGACCGGACCTCCGCTACCAGCTGGGTTTCAGCGTCCAGAATGGAATCGTAAGTAGGGCTCCACACTTTCTTCCAAAGATCTGACAGATAAAACCGTGGCACAGTGTTTGTTTTTTAACTTTTATTTTTAATTTATTTTTAATGTTTGTTTTTGAGAGAGAGAGAGAGCATGAGCAAGGGAGGGACGGAGAGAGAGAGAGAGACACAGAATCTGTCAGACTCAGGCTCCAGGCTCTGAGCTGTCAGCACAGAGCCCAATGTGGGGCTTGAACCCACCAACCATGAAATCATGACCTGAGCTGAAGTGGGACGCTCAACTGACTGAGCCACTCAGGCGCCTCTTGACGATTATTTAAGTACACGGTCCAAAATCTAGTCAAAACTCATTTTATAGATTGAGAAAATTTTTCATTCATTCATCTGCATATATATTTATTGAACACTTAACTGACTGAGCCAGCCAGAGGCCCCAAATTTTTATTTTTTAAAGCCAGGCAGTTCCCTGAGAGAACCCAGCAAGGAGAGGGAGGAGTGAGTGAGGGCGGGCCCTGTGTGCCCCTGTGGGCAGAGAATCCTGTGCCCTTGCACATGAGAAGGGAAGGGTGGTTCCCAGAGCCCTGGCCCTGAATCTCTCTGTGATGGTGCAAGGGTCAGCCTCCCAGCTGCCAACTTGAGATAGTCTGGGATGTGTCACCAAGTGTGTCCTTCCCCTCCGGCCAGGGGATGCCATTGTGTCACCACCTGGGTACACCTGTTAGCCCCTATAGAGCTGTCCAGCCCCCCACCAGGGGTGTGCAGCACTGGGCGGGCTCCCCAGTGATTCCAGGGCACAGTGCAGGTGGAGAGCCCCGGCCCCCATGGCTGTGATGCGTGCATGTTTTCTGCCTTGCCCTTTTAACCTGAATAGCACTTTAGGGATGAAGAGTATTTTCATCATGTGAATATCTGTCTGGAAACAATACTTTTCTTTTTTAATTTAATATTTGTTTATTTTTGAGACAGAGACAGAGCATGAACGGGGGAGGGGCAGAGAGAGAGGGAGAGACAGAATCCGAAGCAGGCTCCAGGCTCTGAGCTGTCAGCACAGAGCCCGATGCAGGGCTCGAACCCACAAACTGTGAGATCATAACCTGAGCTGAAGTCAGACGCTTGACTAAGCCACTTGGGTGCCCCTCAGTCTAAACCATCTTTAAGCATACAGTTCAGTGGCATTAAAGTACATTCACAGAGTGGTATAACCGTCACGACTGTCTCTTTCTAGAACTTTTTCTTCATTCCACACGGAAACTCCATACTCAGCATTACTCCCTTTTTGTGCTGGTTTGCCTTATTCTGCAATCACAGTAATTGTGGGCTCTGATGACCATCCTGTTCTCTGTCTGCGACCTTGATTTTTTAGATTTTGGATGTGCTCTCCTTCTCTTTCCCCTCATCTTTCCACATTGAAGAACGCTATTCTTTTCCCCCTTAAAAATCTCAATTAAGAGTGGTAGGTTTTTAAAATTTTATTCCAAGTCTGTTTCAAGGTTTAGAAATACCCTTGAAGTAGCTTTGAAGTTCCCCTTCATCTGTTCCTTGGACCTCAGCGGCCTCACTTTCCTCTTAGGAAGGGAGCCGGGGTTACTTACTCCTTACGCTTTTGGGCAGACACCTGTTTTTATCTGCCGATATTTCCTTGTTTGCTGTGTTCATATGCAAATAATTTTAAAAGTTCAGCTATGAACAAAGAGTTGTTGTATAGCAACAGCAGGTCCCTTGGTTTTGTCTCAAGTGTGGGAAGCACCTAAGCAGCATTCTGACCCCAGAGTACTGGGTGGGGGGCTCTGCGGGGTCCACACACTCGGTCACAGAGCATTGTCGCACGATGCCACGATCTTGTCTACGTGGGCTTAAAAGGCGCATGATCTGGGGCGCCTGGGTGGCTCAGTCGGTTAAGCGTCCAACTTCAGCTCAGGTCATGATCTCACGGTCTGTGGGTTCGAGCCCCACGTCGGGTTCTGGGCTGACGGCTCTGAGCCTGGAGCCTGCTTCGGATTCTGTGTCTCCCTCTCTACCCCTCCCCCGTTCATGCTCTGTCTCTGTCTCAAAAATACACAAACGTTAAAAAAAAAAATTAAAAAAAAGGCGCACGATCTGGTGTGAAATGTCAACTTTGTAAACTAAAAACACACTCTTTTGGAGAAAGTCTCATGTTCTGTTTGAAGTGGGGGTGGCCTTCCCCTGCAGGGCTGAGCCCCGAGCCCTCCAACTCCAAGCCCTGGGGAGCTCATTTCCACCGGCCCACAGCTTCTGCACACCATGATGTGCGGCTACACAGAGACAAAACCCAGCCCCGTTGTCCTTTCCGGGGGGAAGTGAGTTTGAACACGGGCTGCTAAGTCGAGAAGGTCAAAAGGAGCAAGTCCCGGCCAGCTGGCCACACTTTGGAAACCCAAAGCGGGGTTTGGCTCATGTAACCGTGACCCTGAAAAGCAGGCTGCAGATTATACAGTTGGATGTCTGAGTCCTAGCGGTGAATGTGGGAAATAGTATTCGCCTGTGTTACACAGGCTGAGAGTTTGAAGCCGTTGGTGACTCGGTGACAGGTCCAAAAAGCTCTTTTCCCCAGGACCCAGCTGGGATGACAGGCAGTCAGAACTCAGTGTGCCATGACCTCCTGCAATGTACTACATCCCCCGGGCGGGGTGCAGCGGCCGGGTGGCCCTGTGCGCCCACGGAGCCCTGTCGCTTGCGAAAGGAAACCGAGAGATTGGAATGCCCCAAAGTAACCGTGGAGAACGGAGGGCAGGGGTCCAGGAAAGCCAGTGCTGTCTCCGCCCAGCTCTCCGACATGCGATCCTGCCGTGAGGGTTAACGGTGTGGCCTTTGGCTCTGACAGATCTGCAGCCTCATGCGAGGGGGCATAGCCGAGAGAGGCGGCGTCCGCGTGGGACATCGGATCATCGAGATCAACGGGCAGAGTGTGGTGGCCACGCCTCACGAGAAGATCGTCCACATCCTCTCCAATGCGGTGGGGGAGGTAGGAGCGGGGGCTGGGGTGGGGGTGTGCCTGGAGGAACCCGGCCTCGCGCTTGCACGGCCCCACACAGGCCTTCCAGGCAGCGTCCTTTGTGGTTCAAAACCCTGCTCGACAGGCAGAACCGTCAGACTCAGGCCAGAGGTCAACCCACTGCCTAGCGGCAGACCGAGAGTGGCTCCTAGAAATAGGATTCACTCTCTCCTGCATTATTTGCTCACCTTTTCTTCTCAACTCTCAGCCTCATTATTGTAGCTTCCCCCCGGGGCCGCCGGAGTTCTGTCCATTCTTCCAGTTAATGTCACCACACCTGCTGGGCCATGGAAGTCTCAGATTGACGGCTGATAGATGGACCAGGCCTCCAGGGGCAGCTCCGGGCTCCAGCCTCCTCCAGGTGGCGATGGCTGTTCCAGGGCCTGCCTCCTGAGCCACCTGACCCCCTGGGGGAGGGGTCCCGACCCACTGCCACTACCTACTGCCACTCTCCCTTGCTTTTAAGGGATTTTCTCCTTTTGCCTTGGCTGCGAAACAAAGCTTCCCCGGTTTTCACTGCGCACTCTGTGCCACCCCACACGTTTTAGAAAGCCCGTGGATCCCTCTCTTCCTGGAGGCCTCAGTCAGGTCCCTGTGGCTGGTGAGGGGCGATCTTCAGAGCTCCCCCCCACCCCGCCGTGGTTAGAGGTGCTGCCCCCCTGGGCACGGGGGCCATGGCCACACAGCCACACCCCACCCCACCCCACAGCCTCAGGCCTGCTGATGCACGTTTCTGCCCTCAGATTCACATGAAGACGATGCCGGCTGCCATGTACCGACTGCTGACGGCCCAGGAGCAACCCGTTTACATCTGAGGCCGTGCCCCCCCGCCTGGCGGCTTGCATGGAGGACTGTCCTCACTCGTGGTGTGTTTCTCGTGCTGCATCTGTGTGCCCACTGAGACATTTCCCTCTCACGCCCAGCACCGGTTCTACACAGGAAGAGAAGAATCTGCAGACCTCTTTACTCTCTCTCCAGTTTGCTTTTTTTTTTTTTTTTTTTTTTTTTTTTTAACACCCAGGAAGTTTTGTACACACGCCCTTGAGGGTAGAGAGCAGCCAGTACCCACCGGGTGTCTGCCCAGACCATCCTGAAGGGCCCCCGGGGGTTCCCAGGAGGATGGTCACGGCTCCAGGGGAGTCCTCCCTTCCCCCAAGAGGTGCTCCTGGGGGGACAGTGAAGGAGCTGAGTCAGCAGTGCCTACAGTCCAGCCGCTGGTCTTGGCTCTGATTGGCTCAGTGTATGGGAACACGGTGTATCAGCAGAGACCAGCTGTGTCTTTCAGGGTTTGCCCTGCCCACCACACTGGACTTGGAGCTCCACACCCCTCCGCCCAGAATTTCTGAGCCAACCTTATGCCTCTTGTGTAACTACTTTTAGTTTCGACATAATTGCGTTCTTGAAGGTGAGCCTTCTCCCCCAAGGGTAGGAGGGAGACGGCCTGGGACCAGGGTGCCATCTTGGTGCAGAGAGCTCGGCAGGTCCTGGGGCAGCCCAGCCGCCTCAGGCTGTGCTAAGGTCACCAACCAGCTGATAGACGTGGGCAGGTACTTCCTTCCTCCCTCTCTGCCACACACGTACGTATACAGCCTCTCTTGTGTATGTATCGCCCTCGCCTCCTTCCCTCACCAGTGAGGCACACAGAGCCCTTGGAAGGCCCACCTCGCCTCTCCATGAGGTCCCTTCCCCTGGCAGGTGAGGCCTGCAGGGGCTGCTCAGCCTTGTCCGGGGCGAGACTCCCCCCCCCCCCCCCCCCCCCCCCCCCCCCCCCCGCCCCGAGGCCTGGCCCCACGAGCGCCGCCTTGGCTCAGGGTCCTAGTGGACTCCCTTCGTGCCCCCACTCCACACTCACCCTGGGGGTCTCGGAAGGACGGACTGCTCCCGTGGAGGAAGAGAACGCAGATGCAGTCGCGTTAGGCTTCCTGGCCCAAGGTAAGACCAGCTTTCCTCTCTGCTCAGGGCCACGTAGCAGGATGGGATTCGAGAGGCCAGCATAGTAGTAAACGACAAAACTAAGGAGACAAGGATGACCTCACACGATGCCTAAGCATCCACAGATGTGTTCTAGAAACATCAGCTTGCTGCCTGGTGGGTCTGAGGGCGCTTGCACTTGGGTGAGATGCTGCGTGTTCTCACCAGGTGCCTCATGTTGTGGATTCTGTCTCAGTTCATGCAGATATTGTAGTGATATTATCCTGAGCCAGTTTTCAATTACTCTTGGTCCAAAGAGCATTTTGTTTTCACGTAGGTGGGTGTGGGTTGGTTTGCTTTTTTTTGTTCCATTTCGTTCATGACCTCAGCAGAGACAGGGGAAGAGAAACTAATATATTTTGTAATATTAAGAGTCCCTGCTCTCTGCACATGGGATATTTATGTTGTATCTGTGGAAACAGGAATTCGGTGAGCATATGTGGACTGGCTCATGTATTTATTTGTTGGAGAGATTTCGGGGAGGGAGACACATAAAAAAAAAAATCAGAACAAGAGACTAGCCCCAGATGACTGTGCAGTGTGTTCCCCTGGGATTTCTGTACCTCAGGGTTTCTGTGAGTCAGGAAAGCCGAATGTTCCAAAGGCATCAGTGGTCGACCCTCAGTTTGTAGTATAAACCTTAATAAAGTAGGGGCTGCCCCCTCTGCAGGGGAGCCAGCCTGGACAGTCCAGGACCCCTGGACTTCAGAGGAGGCTCAGCCCCACGCAGCCCGAATCAGCCAGAACCATGGCCCCAAGTTCTCAGTTTACCAAACTGTAGTGGGTCTGACAATATAGTCAAGGACTCAAGAGTCTTGTGTCGCTCTTCCCTCTGCCAAAAAGAGAGAGTAGAACAGGAACAAAGCATTAGTGGTGGGGTGTGAGGCCTCAGGAGCCTTGGAAGGTCATGGGAGGGGTTCATGCCTGTCTGGTCCCAGGATGACCACTCGGGCCACTTGCCCCAGCACCGGGACAGAGGCCGATCCGCAATGGGCCAGCAGTCCCTACGCAGCCTGCCAATATCACAATTAGGCATCTTCACCCAAAGGAGAGGGGACAGAGAACACAGATTCTGCCGCTATGGCACAAAAGTCTTAGAACGTTTGATGAGTGCGGCAAAAGCCCATTTGGTAAGAGCTGCTGGAAGACCAGCATCTTCTAGCAGAAGAGTGAGGTTACTTGTCTACCACCTACCTTCTGTTACTGAAAGTGGCTCTGCATACCCAGATACTCTCGTTCCCGGAGCTCGGTACAGGTTCACCTGGAGTGTATTCTTGGCCCTGCTCGCGTCGGATGGAGGGAGTTAAGCGTTAGTAACTCCGTGTTTGAAAATCCATAGGACGTGGTGGTCTCTTCTGGCATCCCAGTATATATAGTTATATATGTAAATATCTGAATACCCCCACCCCCACCCCGTCACGGGGAACACTATGTACAGAGCAGCCTTCCCCAACAGGGCCCAGGCAAAAAGCCACTCTTGCTGCTTGGCTGGGACATGCTGGTGACTCAGGTTCGGGGACAGATTCTCAGCTTCGTCTACCCGTCCTGGTCCAGCCAGGATGCACCAGAACGCATCCTGTCTCTGCCTTCTCACACGGGAGCATTTCAGGGAGCCACCGTCAGCCTTGGGTTCACAAGAGGAGGAGACCCCAGAGACCAAGGCCTGGAGTGCACGCCCTCCCCAGAGCAGGCTCCTGGGGACCTGGAGCCCACCATGGAACAGCGGCCTCAGAGAGTCCCAGACTAAACGACTACCTCCCCCATCACTTCTGCCGCCCCTGAGGCCCCCCCATTCGCACCCAACGTCCCCATCTGCACGCTGAGGAAACCCATCCACACGCCCTTCTTGGGTCCCTCGACCCAGTGGTGTGGCTGTTACCAATGTTTACAACCAAGGGCCACCTCCTTTTAGACCTGTTTACTCTCCCTCTTCCAAGGCCGCTTGCTGGTTTGAGCTTCGTGTCTGTCTGCGCCTTCCCTGGCTTGGGCCCTCTGGAGCACACGACCCGATTCTTTGCCCCCCTCCATCACAGCAGGGCGTGAGGACCACGTGGGAAGGAAATTTCTTGTACATATTCAGCACAGCCCCTAGAGTCTGAACTTGTACTATTGTTCTGTAAAGAGGGTGAAATAGAGCTTATTGTAAAGCTTGGGACAAGTAGAGTATTGTATTTGTAACAATATTGTTCTTTGTACACACAAAACTCAATGATCTCTATATATAAATATAAATTATATAAATAAAATATATATACACGTGAGCCCGGAATGATGGCACCACACACCCACTGAATGTACTTGCTCCAACAGTCTGGTCACCGGCCCGGCCCGCCCTCCCCTCCTCTGTACCGTTTTGGGGGTTGTGATGTATTTAATGTGTTCTCTTCCTTGATTTCACTGAACGCTAATGTCTGTAAGAGTCACTGCAACAATAAACAAGAACTTTGCCTCTTGGCCCAGTGTCGTGTTGTTTCGGGGGAGAGACAGGACACCAGGTGGGGGAAAGATGGCATCTTGTTCCCTGCAGGCCCCCTCCTGGCCCTCCTGTCAGGCCAGCACCAGGTGGGCGCCACAGCAGCTGGGCCTGCTCTGGCCCCTGTCAGCAAGCCCCCTGCAAGGGTGCTATCCCCTGGGGGATGACTGTCCCCTGGGAGTGGGGTCTGGCACCCGACACTTTCCCCCTCAGCATGATCTCCGCCACAAGTTGCAGAACTAGAGAAAAAAATTCCACTCACCTCTCCCGCCACACACAGATCCATCCTTCTCGTCTTTGATCTAGAACTTCCCCTTGCACTGTGATCCTCCAGGCTGGCTTCCTCATCTGCCGAAGGGCGTCTATCTCATGGGGACCGTGTGAGCGTCAGCTAATGCATTCAGAGCATTTGGAATCCCACAGCTCACAGAAGGGCTCAGAAAGGGCAGGCCGCTCTCATGAAAGCACCGTCTGTCGTGGGCGCCGCAGACACGGGTCCGCATCAGCTGCCTGGGACTTTGGAGCAGCGGCCACAGCTCAAGAAGGTCCCGGAGAACATAGGAGCTGGCGGTGTCTCTGCTCCGTTTACGTGGCCCCAGGACACCGGAAGCCCCAGCTTGGCTGGCAGAGCATCATGAACTGATGTATTCGATTTCATCCCACAAAGGCATGTTTAAATTCCTGGTTAAAAAAGAAAAAGACACCTCTGGAACGTCAGGGTGTAACTTCTTAAAAGTTAAAAATAGGACTGTCCTACAAATACAGGATGAACATGTCAAAGATTTATCAACTCGTTGATGAGGACACGAGTGAAATGATAAAGCTGGTCCAAGGAGCATTTCGAGGTCCCGAGCATTTTTAGACATTTAAAAAGCAATGTTAGATTAAAAATGCTAGGTTAGCTGGCCTGTGTCTTTTGTATGCCATCATTTGTAGGTCTAGTTGGGGGCAAAGGAAGGGTGCCTGGATGAGGTTCAGTGCTGTGCAGAAACAAAGCATGGAAAAGAGCACATGCATACCATCATTCTTCACAAGAGTGGGGCAACCCACGCATCTACCAACAAATGAATAATCAATATATAATTATACATATAATGGAATATCATACAGCCTTAAAAAAGCAAATTCTGACACATGCTACAACATGGATGACGCTTGAAGACCTTATGCTGAGTGACATAAGCCAGACCCAAAATGACAAATACTCTATGGCTTTTACGAGACAGCCGGAGCAGATGCACAGAGACAAAAAGAACAGCCATTGCCAGGGGGTGGGGGAGGGCAGAGTAGGGGGTTATTGTTCAGTGGACGTAGGGTTTCAGTTTGGGAAGATGGAAAAAAGTCTGGAGATGGATGGCGGACATGGTTGCA